CCCCCCCCCCCCCTTCTCCCCCCTCGAAAAATGAAAGAAGAGGAAAAGAAGCAGCCCCAGCTGATAACGCCACGAAAGAAAAAACAACACCAAAGGAGAAAAAAGTGAACTCCCTGCAACTCCCCCTTCCCCCCCCCCCTTCCTCGATCGTCGCCGCCGCGCAACGCATGGACAGTTGCCAATGTCCGTCGCCTCCCCAGCCCGCCCGGGCTTCAGCTGCACCATAAAAAAAGCTCCCTATCTCGCACTGACACTGTGGATTTTGTTCATTCCCCCCCTCTTTCGTGGAGAGACAAGGCGTCAAACTAGATGCACCTTCAACTTAGCTCATGAGTTGCCGTGTCCATCTATCCGTGACTACTCTTCTGTCTTCGTCGTATTTATTATACGGGACCCAGTCAGCTCGCCAGCCTCACCGTCAATCTGCCCGCGGGGGGTGAAGTGGATGTTGATAACATGCCGAAAAGCCCATTCATTCCTCTAATGAAACTACGTGATGAGTGAGAAATATCAAATTGCAGTATATTGATTCGTTGCGGTCGATGATGCCATGCTCTGTGTGTGTGGTTTTACAAGTGCCCCTCCCCTCGGCTAGTTACAGCCACTTGACCTTGGTGATGTGGTCCGTCTTCTTCTTGCTGCTCTTGACGTACCCCAGGGCACGCAGCTCCGCGAGGCCTCTGTAGAACATGACCAGGGCTTCCCGCTGCCTCCTCTCGTCCCCGTCGGCACCATCCTCTTCCGTGCCGTCGTCGTCGGCCGGCTCCTCCCCTGGCTGCCCTCGCCGTCCGCTCACCACCGCGTAGAATGAGGACCACAGGTCCGCCACGTTGATGAGGTTGCCCGTCTCCAGGTACATCTGGTACAGGATCGCCGGCGCCGGCAACGTCGCGCGCAGGCCCTCGCCGTCGTTATCGCCGGCGCAGCAGTCGCATGCCAGGTAGTCGTACGGACGCATCAGGCTGCGCTCAAAGACGGCCCGCGTCCGCGGCACAAACACGTCCCTCGACGGCGCCCGCGCCTCGTACAACCAGCTCTCCGACAGGAACAGCCCGCCCGGCGTCGTCTCGTCGCCGCGCGCCGCCAGGGCGGTCGTCACCGCGTCCACAATCTCTGTGAACCGCCGGTCCTCGTCGCCGAGCGTCGCCGAGTGGTGGCTCAGCTGCACCCGCTGCGCAACCACCGTAGTCCGCACCACCTTGCTCTGCCCGCTGTAACGGCTGCGCACGCTGACGCCCTCTGCGTCGGCGCGTCTCGCCAGGGCCCGCAGCGCCGCCAGCTGCGTCTCCAGCTGCGTCTCCAGCTGACTCTGCGTCCCCTCGCTGCTGCTGCCTGCCTCCCGCTCCTGGCAGTACGGGCCTAGTCCCAGGCTCGGCTCGCCCTCGCGCAGTAGCGAGATAAATCGCTCCATCGCTACCCCCAGCTCGTGCATGCCCATGCGCCGCAGGCTCGCCACCATGCTCGAGTGCTCCGACATGGCCACACCCTCGCCCATGGCCTCTACGTACGCTCGCGAGAACGAGCCGTGTTGCGCACCCGCAGCCTCCAGCATGAGCAGGCTCCGTAATCGCTCATCCATCCACGCCCCACGCTCTAAAATGCTGCTCTGCACTCGTACCCTAAGAGTGGTGTCGTCTTCTAGCAGCAATCGGGCGTAATGCAGCTTCTCCTGCGTGCCAGATTCAATGGCCGCCTCCACATGTTTACGGAAAGAGGGTGTGTTGCGAATGGCCTCCAGGTGTTCTGCCTGGATCAACTCGCCGTCTCCTACCAGCACACTCAACGGGTTGGCAAAGTAGTGGCACAGGTATGCATACTAGAAGCGATATTAGCGGACGGGAAGGGAGCGGCAGAGCAGGGACCGTTTCACTTTAAGAGAGCTCACGAAAGACTGGATGCCAGCCACCTGGTCGCGTTGGCGATCCAGCATCCAGCGCAGCAAGGGCGCCCCTAGCCGCAGTGGCACGTCGCTCGCAGCCACCGCGCCCTTGAAGACGGACTCTAGGATGGTATCCGCCTGCACATCGTCAAATTGGCCTCCGTAAATCTGACGACAGGCCGATTTCAGCAATCGGGCTTGGAGCAGTTCCACTGACGTGGCAACCCCAAAGAGAAGCGTAAATGGTATGCGCGGACGCCAAGAGCTGGAAGCTGTCAGTGATTTCCGTCGGGAGGGCGCACCAGCCTAGGTAGGTACCTTAGAAGGGGGATCAGGTCTGACAGCAGGCTGCTATCAAAACCTTCGCTATCCTGAAATGCTACAAATATCTGGTCGCAATTGTGTGTTTGGACGTATGTATGCAGCGCCTCCAAGTCGTAGTCGAGGTATCGTTGGCCCTGCCCAGTCAGTCAGGTTAAGAAGAAGAAAAGAAAGCAAATTTCCCATACTGCATACATTTGTCTCCTTTTCTTCTACCTCATGGTCTTCATCATCTTCGGTGGCCTTAGATGCCGCGATGCGAATGATGCGCTTGAGTACCGCCTTCAGTGACCCAGCCTCAGTCGACCGCAGCCCGATGAAGCGGCTGGAGCCCGACTGCAGCGTTTCAGACAGCTGTTCGAACAGCAGATCTTGGGACGCAATGTTTGTCCCCGTCACAATAAATGCCGTGGGGATTTTATCAAGGCTATAGAGCAGAATGGTTAGCCACGCGTTCGTGTCTCTGGTTCCAGCCCCCCCCCCCCCCCTTTATGC